CGATTATCTCGGTCGGTTGTTAAATTTATGCGATAAAATTATGTTAAGGTTCTTCAATGAACGTATCAAGGCTCTTCAATGAATTTACACGCGTCTAAAATACATAACAGCTGACCATTAATACCAGATACGTAATGCGAGGGATTAATAGGTGAATCAGTCACATGAATCGTCTCGTGAAGACATTAATAGACCCCGGTAAATGGTTCGAAACAGTCGTATCAGAACTTTCGGCGTTCGTATCTTGCAGGACCACCTACGAAAGTGCAGAGCTAGCGACCGCCACCGGCTCTGCTACGCCTACTATTACTGAGAACTTCGGGTCCCCAGCGACAAGCTACTTGAGACGAGAAGATATTAGGCACGGATTAGAGAATTCCGTAGCCACGCAGGACTTCTGGACGACGAATTCCCAACGCGAATCTGGTTTCACTCGAGAAACGTGCGCGGCAAGAGGGGACCATTGTCCTTCGAACGCTCATAAAGTACTCGGTCGGATCTCGTAACTCGAGTTTTCGGTGATCGTGCACACATGTTGCCATTAGGATACGTGGTGGCGCACGTCTCGAAATTTTGAAACAGCCATCAGAAGAGCGCGGTGTAGAATTCGCTTCTCGGGACGCCGACAAAGCGCCGCGCTTTGTCTGGTCTCTTTCCGACTTCGAAAATCGACACGCCACGTCCACTGTATAAACGACGAGTCGCGTAACGCGGTTTGTAAAAGTGATCATACTGCCCGTTATAGAGTACCCAAGTACTTTTTCCGTGCCAAGGTAAAAGTCAATTCGGTATTGCGATCGACACGCGCGCTCGTCGCTGCGCTCTCGGGTTCGTCGACCGAACCCGGGAGATCGGTAGGCAAACAGTATCGATAGGGTGAGTTAACTCTCACGGATGGGATACACGACGAATATGCTGCTGACCGTCAACACTGTCTGACAATGTCTATAGATCGATTGATACGATTAAATCACATGTTGACCGAGACACTGTTTCAATCAAACAGGAAATATTGGATTTAGAAGATTTTATTTAAGTATACTTTATTCGCGCGCGCGCGCGCGCGAAAAGTTTGCAATTTTAATTGTAAATTGACTTTAACGGATATTGAAAGTGATTAGAACCAGAGCTTGAATGTTATTTTTTGCAAAGATATAACTATCGATAATTTCATGTTGATTAGTAAAATATTACTGATGGTGTAACTTTAGATATTTTTTGTATAGAGTAGCAAATTATTAACAATTTTGGATTCTGCATTACAATAGAAAATTTACCGAAATTTCCTGCACGGGGATGCAAATTGCGTACCTTTTTTTTAACGGATACGTCTGTTATTGAGAACTGACTAAACTACAGGTAGATTCTTTTGAACGTGATGTCTTCTGAGAAAGCACAATAGGAATATTCAAAATGGATCTAGATAATAGCGGTATGTTTGGACTATACCACATCGAATTCTTCTTCTTCTCTCTCTTTTCTCTTCGTAGGGGCTATGCTCTTTTGTCTTATGCAAACCACATTGCACCGGCATGCAACGTATGCTTTTTGGCTTTCGAGATTGGAAAGAGGCCAAGAAAGAGCATATAAAAAGGAATAATGAGTGTGACAGGGTGACTGAAGCACGTAAGAAAAGGAACTCTATCATTAATTCTGACACAGACTGTGGTATAAAGCAACCCAAACAAAAGGAGGTAATAAAATACAATCAACTCAGTTATGATCGTTCGATAGACAAATGTCCGAGTGATAAAGAAAGATGCCTTTTGCCTCATCATCGTCTTGTTTCTTCCTGAGAGATATTACAGCTATTTTTGAATCTCTATGAATAAATGAGTAACATTTACTTTGCGAATAAAGACATATCTTGTCTTAAGAAAACGAGCCGAGAAATTTAGCATTTCCGCGTATTTTGGTACACGTTCTAGATCTGCCAAGTCACTTTTTATTCACGGATGTTTTAACCAATTTGGAAGCCAATTTTTCTGAATTATATATAAAACGTAAAGATCAATAAAATTTTAAATGATTAAAAATATATTTTTGTGGTATAAACTTTAAAAGTATAAAGTACAGATGCAATTTTTTATTGAATTCTTCTAGTATACTTTAATAAATTCATAATTTAAAAGTTAAATGACGATATATATTAAATATAAAAATTAAAAATACAACACATGATTTCTTTCGATATTTCGTTAAATAGAAATTCGACTCCAAATTGGTTGAAGGATTTATGCATAGAAGGTAGAATTTGCTAGAGATGTAGGACATTCTCTTGACGCCAACCTGACGATTAATCAATCAAACGAATCGTCAAATCATTGACCTGCATGTGGCAGATACTGCCGGATGATGATTGTGCTGTTTACACGATCTGTTCCCTTGTTCCGAAAGTATTGAATTCCTTGGTTAAACAATCATGTAATTCAGTCTAGCATATCACGATTGTAATCGATCGTCTTCCCGCGCTCTGTCCTACAAATTACTTTTCGAATGACTTTTCAACGAACGTGGTCGTTCGGATCAATAAGCACATGCAGGTGGACGTAATGGAAGTTTTAGCACAATTGATAAATATTTCCGATCGAAGTTAATCCAAATGTGCACGTTCGGCATTACGGAACAATTCGAGTAATGAGATTGCGCAATGATCAGGAGGAGGCGGATACACGTATATTCTGTTTCGTTTGATATACATTTACAGATCGGACAAAGCTAGGGATTCCTCTCCTACGCGCGGACAATAAAATTACAGACGAAAATCTGCACACAATATCAAGGTGTCTCACGATACCACTCGGTATCCTGTATCCGATGGTCGAGTGCCTCATCCATTTGCGGCCTCGATCACAAGTACGGCACTTAACGCGTATATCCATGCCGCTCCTATTGAAATGTTATATTTAACGTATATCGATCTGTTACATGTCAAAAGTGAGAACGTAGAATTTTATTCAGAGCTCAGTATATATCTGAGTAAAACTTTGTTACAATTGTTACAATTGAATGTACGATTTGCAACAACAAACCTATATCTTTGACGAATCGTTGTTGAGAACGACTCGAATTTCCGAAAATTATTTGATCGCGCGACAGGATTGATTTTTAATCAGACAGACTATTTAAAAACGTGTCTTTGCGCCTTGAAAGTCATCGAGTTCGCCTTATTCCGATCTCACTGCTACTTGCGACACCATCGCACCTTTTTCTCGCGCGGGAGATAAGACGCCTCGGGCGTAGAATGTTCAGGAAGCAAGGTCAGATTGATAATCGTGAGAAAGATGAAAACGATCGTCGGATCAGCTGAGAATCGAAATACCACGCGAATGCGAAACGATCACGGCAAACGCGCTAGTGTAGGTATATATACGTCACCGCGTGGTACGTGCGTGAAAATATGTGCGTGAAAATGCGTGCGTGCGCGTTCACGCACACTTTTACTCCGCGCGTGAGTCGCGCAAAGTGGTAGCGGAGACGGAGATGGGGGAGGAGGAAAGAGCAAGAGACTTCAATGCTGGGACCATGTGATCGCCATGGCGGTAAAGAGTGGTCTTGGGATCTCAGATTAAGCGAGTACACAGCAGACGAGAGAGAGAGAGAGAGAG